ATTTTCATTAAAATTAAGTCAATGTATGTTTCAAGGCTGTGTCTGATATGGAAATACTTTAATTTATACAAGAGTATCTCTAAACAAACAAAATCAGGAAAAGCTAAAGTGGAAAACATAGCATCCTGATTTACTTAAAAATGTTCAGGTAATGCAAAATAATGAATCGATGTAGAATCATGACAATGTGAATGTATTGCTATAGCTATCTCTATGACTTATTGGGAGTACTGGGACTTTCATAATGAGTTTTGTTCAAGGTTAGAAATTGTGATGACATGATGAGTTTAAACTTTTATAGCAATCTAAACCATATATTATAGTGTTTTACCATGAATACTCTATAAGTGGTGGGACAGGGACACTCAAGTCTTCAATAATAAAGTACTGTGGGGAATACAGGTTTGCCTGAAAACTGATCAATAATGGAGTGAAAACAATTATTGGTTTTAATTTCTAGGGATGTATATAGTATATGTTGGTATCAAAGAAAAACATAACTGATAGGAAAGCAATGATGTGACAGTTCATGAAGTTACCTTGAACATGATAGTCATATATTGGCTTTTTCATGCACCAACATTAAACATGAAAGCAGTAAGGTGACTGATCTAATTAGTGACTTTCAACATGATAGCAGTAATGTGACTGATCTAATTAGTGACTTTAACAATGATAGCAGTAATGTGACTGATCTAATTAGTGACTTTAACAATAATAGCAGTAATGTGACTGATCTAATTAGTGACTTTAACAATGATAGCAGTAATGTGACTGATCTAATTAGTGACTAACAATGATAGCAGTAATGTGACTGATCTAATTAGTGACTTTAACAATGATAGCAGTAATGTGACTGATCTAATTAGTGACTTTAACAATAATAGCAGTAATGTGACTGATCTAATTAGTGACTTTAACAATAATAGCTTTAACAATAATAGCAGTAATGTGACTGATCTAATTAGTGACTAACAATGATAGCAGTAATGTGACTGATCTAATTAGTGACTTTCAACATGATAGCAGTAATGTGATTGATCTACTTAGTGACTTTCAACTTGATAGCAGCGAGACTAATCTATTTAATGACTTTGAACATGATAGCAGTAATGTGACTGATCTAATTAATGACCTTGAACATGAAAGCAGTAATGTGACTGACCTAATTAGTGACCTTGAACATGAAAGTAATGTGACTGGTCTAATTAGTGACCTTGAACATGAAAGCAGTAATGTGACTGGTCTAATTAGTGACTTTGAACATGAAAGCAGTAATGTGACTGGTCTAATTAGTGACTTTGAACTTTGTAGCAATGATATGACTGATTTAAGTTGTGACCTTGAACATAATATCAGTAATGTGACCAATCTGCTAGTAGTGTTTTTTTTAATCATAATTATCAATTGTTCAACATGTATATGTGATACTGAACTTCAAGCTTTAAGAAGTTTTCAAGTAAAAAAATGAAGAATTGAAGCAGATAAATAGTTAATCTTGAATAAGCTATAAAAGGTGGGTTGATATTGATGAAAACTAGAAACAGTAAACAACACAATATTTTTACTTCCTTTTATGAATTGTTCAGGAAACCCAACACTTGTTCCTGCTATTAGTATACATAGCATATGACCAGAAACTATAAATTTTTAGTCTCTTTTATTTATAATTACTTTAAATAGTTCAGATAACAAACACTTCCCTGCTCCTGTATATTCTGTGAATTATAGATACACTGTGTAGGTTTTGAATGATTAAACTTGTATATAAAAATAAATATTTATTCATCCTTGATTTGACAGGATGTTTCCAGTGTATAAGCTGAACTGGTAGATTGATGCGCTGGTGTGTAGACTATTAAAAGGTTATAATCGGCTGTTTGATTGCATGTATACAGCTGATAAGGATCGCTGTCATTGTGGAGTTGATTCAGTTTGCCTTGTTGTTTGGTGTTCGTGGTGGAAGACATACTTTGCAACATGATGCTGATATGTGTATAAATCCTGCAGTAGTAGAGTATTGACAAAGGTTTTGTGGTTGAGATAGTGGGATGTATTGTAAGTCCTATAGCTCACTGTCAGCTGTTCTCTGGATCAATACACTGTTAAAGGGACCCCTCCCAAATAACTGGTATCACCACATAGTCTCAGATCACAGGCCTGTCTTTTTATGTAAATATGGCATGTATAATCATGTTTGAGGTAGTGTTGTATAATTTCACAGTACCACTCATTATTGGTTTGTCAATGGTACTGAATTATGATTTTTCGTCTCAAGTTGTGCACACCTTGTAAACAAAATTCTAATGACCATGTCTTTGATTTTCTTTATCACAACATTCTGTTTGTGTGACATCTCAAGTAATAACAAGTCTATCTTGATTGTCTTTAGTTTACATTGTGGTTATACATCTCAGATTTTCTGTTCAAAGTACATGATGAGAGGTCTAGAGCTGCCATCTGTGAATCAGTGTCTGTCTTCTTGGATATGCTATATGCATTTCATTGCTTTGAAGAAATATAGCACTAAGAGAACATTCATACGGTCATTATAGAATCATTGTGTAATCAATGAAATAGACTTCTTGTGTAGGGATGACTATTGAGGCCAAACAAGCTATTACAATAGTAATTTAATAGTAACTTTACTATTGCAATGTTATTGAGATGGTGAAATGACTATTTGAGTGCTATCATGATAGTTTTTCATTCACCTGGCCCAAAGGGCCATGTGAGTCTATGCTGTGGAACTGCGTCTGTTAAATTCATTGAAACATTCATAAAATTCCTCTCAGGAGTAAAATACCAAGAGGCATGATGTTTTTGGCTGGTATGTTCCTAGGATGAAGCCCAACAAGTTTGCGAAAAGAAATTACCTTGACCTATTCAAGGGCACACTTGTCAAGTTTGTATACTACATAACTTCTAACCTTCTCTATTCTCAGATTACCATTAAGGCCCATTTACTTTGTGTTTGTTCAATTAAATAATGAATTTTATACCCACTTAAAATAAATTAAGTTTTGTCAAACAAATTAATAAAGTATATATATATACCAGGTGAACGCTTCAGGCCCATTGGGCCTCTTGTTTACCCTTAAAATACATTTTCTAACTCAGAAATAAATGCTTAGTTTACCAAATGTTATAGTTTAAAAAAATATTTACAATTTGTATACAATCAGATATGTAACAAAGTGATATTCGTTACACTTTATTATATTCCCATGTTATTAATTTTATATGTACATAAACATGCTCTTCTATGATGATTAATTAATTACTCACAGCTGAGCTCACGACAGTAAAATATCATAAGTTTAATTTTATAACAAACTACAAAGTATAATTTCCTCTTTGTTTTAAACTGTTTTATGTTTGATTAATTGATTAAAAGATATAATTATTTGGTTTTGACAGTAAGTTTGACATGAAGTTTGACATACATCATACATCATAGGCAGGAAAATATATATAGCTATTTAACAAATTAAATTGTCTGTATTTTCACAAACAGGTGTTTAATTGTGATCAGTTTTGAGACACTTCATCAATTTTCATATAACCTAAATGCACTCCTTCTGCTGTTTTTTGCCATTTTGGGAACAATTTTCCAAACCCTGTTACCTTCTGCCATATTGTTTATCAAAATGGATCATTTCAAGGATGGTCTAAAACATGAACCTGGAGGTAGAGAAGTCACCACCTCAGTTTAAGATTTAATAACATCATATTGGAAACAACAACAATATTTATAACATAAACTCTCGTCGATGTGACAACTTGTTCTAAAAATTCCATTTCCATTTTAAGTAGGTGATCTTGCTGTACATGTACTTAGTGCTACTCCCAATCAAGGTCCAAAAGACGCTTTCATAAATAAAGGAAAGCTAGCTTGCAGCCATTTGGCAATAACTCCGTGAAAATCATGCTTTCAAGTAGCATTTTTTTTTAGTTAAAAGAAACTATTGTTAACAATTGTTAGTTGAGCAAACAATCGCAATAGTAATCAACTTGAAAAATATCCTATCAACCTATTACTGTTGAGAGCAACGTTATCGCAATACATAGATAAATTGACCTATTGCTACACCACCATTCTTGTGTAATTATGAAGTCTTAAGGTCAGAAGGCTTTAGCTTTTAAACCAGAAATATATTGCCTTTTCTAATGTACATATTCCAAAGAAGTAGCTTCATCTGTTATAAAGTTATCTGTTATTATAAAACTTTAACTACATATCTGGGCTTCATTCGAAGGAATATTTTGACCGGTTAGTTCTGGTTAACCTATATTTTGACCCTCCAAATTTCAGGAAAATGTAATTTGACTTCAAAACTTAATAAGTATCAAGATCTAGTTGAAAGCCCTGAAGACATACTTGTGAATATTTAAACCCAGTTCATGAATAATCCTCTTTGATTCAGACAAAATAGGAAAAATAAACCCCAAAACCAATGTCCAATATCTCTGTTTCAGGAGGTTACCCAGTAGTATACAGAGCCCTCCTCATAGTAAGAATACAATAGATAAAATAGTATTTATAGCAGGTAATACTATAAACATATTCCAATAAGATTCAAATTTCATTGTTTTAAAAAAATAATCACTTCTGTTTTGCATTTGATGTTTCGTGAATAAAGCGATCTTGCCCACCAAATCTACTTGCACTATTTTAGGCCCTTAGCATCACTGACAAATCCTAGGAGGACGACACAGCTGTATGTTGCAGTTTAATTTCATTGTTTGCCTCTACTTTATCTCACTCTTAATTATGAATAGGTGCTATTCACTTGTGTGTCTTTTGTACAATGTTGTACTATAATCCAGGTAAATTTTATGCATTTATCATCTTGTGGACACATAAATTTGTGGATGGAGTGTAAACTCAATTAAGGATTCTACCATAGTAGAATAACTAGGTATATATGCAGTTATGAAACCTTAAGGAGTTCATCTTCTTGCTTTATGTCATTGATTTAATATTTCTTATTTTTCAGAAGTCAACAAGCATAGATCTATGCCAAGAACTTATAAAAACTGAAGAACCTTCCGATGAAATATCAAACAGTGAGATTAGTGAGTGTAGTGATAGCAATGAGGACTCGAGTGACAGTAGTGTAGGTAACAATAGCACAAGTAGTGAGGCAAGTCTCACACCAGTCAAGCCCACATTCAGAACAGTCACAGGTAGCAGTGGTAAGACCTACAAATTTAAACGGACATTGGATGATTCAGGGATAGACGTTGAACTACCGTCATCGCTTTTATCAAAGCAACCAAGAGTGCATCTTGGTGAACGCATTGCGATATCAGGTGATGGCCACATGTATAGTGTTCAAAGTGGGGGCAAACGTACACCAAAGAGTAAAAAGGTAAAAGAAAAGAAGAAAAAAAGCAAATTGAGTAAATCCACTATGGATGCATATTTGCCCTGTCGTAGAGTGAAGCGCGAAGCTAGTTTAAACGCTGCTGCACGTGTTAATATTATGTACGAGAAAGATGTATCACCACCAAAGGTCAGTCGAAAACCGAGTACATCATCAGCTAGCAGCGTGGTAGCTAAGAAACCAAATGTCACAGCAAAACAAAGTATACTGAAGACAAAAGACTGTGACAAAAGCATCAAGAAACTGAAAGGAAAACTGGAATCAGGAAAGTCGAAAGACAAAACAAAATCAACGGTAAAAAGGATAAAATTGGACAAAGAAGTGAAGAGTAGAAAAGTCACAAATAAGAAAGGAACACTACCAAAAAATACAAAGACAAAATCTATTGTATCTAAATACAAAAGGCTTAGTGGAAATAAGGCGAACAAAAGTGGTGACAGGACTCTAAAGAAGTCGATTAAGAAAAAGAAAATGGAGGATAAACAACCCAAGAAGCGGAAGTTGTCTGACAAAGAACAGACAAAATCAAAAACGAAGAAAGTGAAAGCAGATACGCAAAGGGCAGCTAGAACTGATTTGTCTGTGGCGCCGAAAAGGGGCTACACTGGTGTACAGTGTGTGGGATGTTACCAGCATGCAATGTGTTCATCTAAGGGAAAGTTATATTGGGGAAAGTCTGATTTTGGCGAGGGGAAAGAAGGGGAAATTCTATCAGAGGACTCCACTCAACCCTCTTATACCAGCGTGCCACCTCATGTACAGATTGTTGAGGGATCGCCGTATGTGAATACAGTGGTGCCCCACCAAACTCTGCCAGCCTGTCCCCGCTGTGCCCAGAGGAGTGGCCTCTTAACAACCCCACCCTGTCAGTCATATACACTGGGGGGTATTGGCAGCATCAGTTCTGTACAGGTGGTGTCTTATCCGCAGCATTTTGGCAGCTCCTTCCCCATCTCTTACCCCACCAGCCAGTCGGCTCTACCTCATTGTGGTAAGTACTACATCATTAAGAGTGGTATTTAGTTGAAAGTGATCTTCATATTTTGTTAGTACACTATGTATTATGCAAAATTGGTGTGATGTGGGGTTTTTGGTCTCCTAACACAGATGGTACCTATAAAGATGCATACACTGTATATTATAAATATTGTTAATGCTTTGTAGCCAAGTACTCTTTTGTAATTACTTGTTATAGACTCTTCACTTGTCCACCTTAGAAATATCTGTGTAACAGTATGAACTTTATTATTGTTTTTAAAAATTTGTGACATGTCTGCCTTTCTTTGTTATAGGTTGCGCAGCATGTTACAATGCTTCAGGTATCTACTACCCATCAACAACCACACCCTTGCCCCACCAACCCCTTCCCCATGACACCTGTCATGGGCCTCCCATCCCTATACATGTCACAGAGTCGGAGGAATCCAAGAGTGATGTTGACATAGATGTCGGTGAGCCAGAGGACATTAAACCTACCCTGTCCACTCTGACCAACAAGGACTCAACCAGTGAAAAATCACAGAGAAAAACCTCTGTGAGTAGTATGAAAGGAGGGTCACAGAAAAAGTCGGCAGAGAAAAAGGTCACCTTGCAAGTTTCCAAACCAAAAAAGGCAGCAGAAAAAGTTTACGAGAGACAGAAGAGTAAAGAAACAAAGAAAAAACCCAAATATAACAAGAGCATATCACGTCATGGATGGGAGTTTGATGGAGAACCAGAGAGAAAGAAAGTCATGTCATTGGTAGGTTTACTTTGTAGCTGTTTAAATACAAAATCGGTTTTAAAGATATAAAGAAACAACAGTTTTCATTTAATTTACTTGGTTCTGTCAATAGAACAGTGATGAACTGCAGAGGCCTTAAGGTTTTACTGGAATATCGACTGTAGCAAAGGCTAGATCTAGAGAAAAAAAGTTGTTACTGTTTATATTCATTATACATGTACATGCAATTTAGAACATAACAGACTACTGTTTGTAGATTTATTGAAAGGAAAAGAAACAGAAAAGCTTGTGATACATGCTGATATTTGCACAGAAAAACAGGACCATTAATATGCTCCAGTGTAGAACCATTTAGATACAAACTGACCTTGGTTTTATTGTATTCATCTGATTGAATATTTTTGTTTTTGTTTTGAAGTGGCTGGGAATGTCGGTGGAAACTAACTGTTATCAGGCTATCCGCCACGTTGATGGTGATGTTATCAAGGTGAGGGAGTGTGTCCTGTTATGCTCTGGACCTAAAAAGACAGACATTCCATATGTAGCCAAGGTGACCAACTTCTGGGAACATCCACATGATGGTAAGTAACAGGACCTTGGGTTTGTAACAAAAACTTTGAGGATAGTAACAGTTTAAGATAGGAAACCTCTTCTGAGCAATGGAACGCATACAGGGCTACACATTATAAGTGACATACATTGCTCAATGATGAAGATAATATACAGCTGTGTATGCAAACCTTTTCTAGGAATAGCTAGATTTCTTTTTTGATTTTGCCTACCATCATCAGATAGTGGGCTATTCAAAGCGACCTTTGACTATGGTCTGTCAGTCTATAAATAATTTATGTTATTGGTATTTTTTGAGAAGTGCTTAATGAATCTTTCTCAAATTTTAAATGTAGGTTCCCATTGGTCCCAAGTTGTGCCCATTTGATTTTGGATCTGATCAGAAAACAATATGGCTGACAGAAGGCCATCTTAGACTTTTTCATTGAAAATTGTTATCACAATTTTTTTGAAAAGTATGAGATAGATCTCTCTAAAATTTGGTATATAGGTTCACCTTGGTTCCTTGTGATTTTGGGACTTATCAGAAAAACAAAATGGCGGAGTATATAACTTGGTTTGTTCAAATTTTGTAACATTAAGAGCAAAAACAGAGGAAAGAAGAGAACTGACGGGAAAATATCCTACTTTTAAAGAATAAATAAAGAAAAAAATATGGACACCAAAAATTCTCTGGGATCTCTTGTTTGCCATAGCAAAATTTTCGGAATTTTTTTTAACATACTGAACACATTTTGGTAGACATTTACTTGGTCAGAAGTAGTTTTACAGACAACATATTGACAACACAAAAAACAATGTCATACATGCATTATCTACCCATTAAGTAAAGGTCACACTATATAACATAAACCCTTTGCATGAAAAATGAAATCTGTTTTTTTAAAAAGAATCAAAATATCACAAAATAAGTTAAATTTCCCAAATTTCCTGCTCAGATAAGATATTACAATGGTAGGTAACAGTAAGAAATAGAAAACCTGAATGCTGATACACTGGGTTGATATATTTACTAAAGTTGATTGTTATACAGGTTAGAGTAGAGTAAGTGAAGCTGATAATAGAGGGTAGGTGATCACTAGCCATGATTATCTATACAGGTGATATGATGAGACATGATTTAAACAGGTGATGTGATAAGACATGATAATCTTCACATGTGATATGGTTCGACATTAATACAGGTGATATGATTAGACATGATTAATACAGGTGATATGATTAGACATGATGATTAATACAGGTGATATGATTAGACATGATAATCTATACAGGTGATATGATAAGACATGGTGATTAATACAGGTGATATGATAAGACATGATGATTAATACAGGTAATATGATTAGACATGATAATCTATACAGGTGATATGATAAGACATGATGATTAATACAGGTGATATGATTAGACATGATGATTAATACAGGTGATATGATTAGACATGATAATATATACAGGTGATATGATTAGACATGATGATTAATACAGGTGATATGATAAGACATGATGATTAATACAGGTGATATGATAAGACATGATGATTAATACAGGTGATATGATTAGACATGATGATTAATACAGGTGATATGATTAGACATGATGATTAATACAGGTGATATGATTAGACATGATGATTAATACAGGTGATATGATAAGACATGATGATTAATACAGGTGATATGATTAGACATGATGATTAATACAGGTGATATGATTAGACATGATGATTAATACAGGTGATATGATTAGACATGATGATTAATACAGGTGATATGATTAGACATGATATCTTGTACAGGTGATATGATTAGACATGATAATCTATACAGGTGATATGACACTACATGATGATTTATGTAAATTAGAGGTAAAAGCTTTATAATTTGTAAAGATAACATGATTTGACATGACGATTTACACAGGTGAGATGATGATGAGCCTTCTGTGGTACTACCAGCCAGAACATACAGAGTCAGGGAGAAAATCCCATCATGCTGACTGTGAAGTGTTTGCCTCCAAACACAAGGATGAGAACAGTGTGGCTTGTATAGATGACAAGGGCTATGTCCTTACGTTTGCTGAGTATTGCCGGTGAGAATCAGCAACATGTAGTGTGTCTGTTCCACTTTGAAGATGTTAAAAAATGCTATTCTGCATAGTTGAGGCCTATTTGTTAGAAATTATCGTGTTTGAAAATGATTGCATTTGAAAATCAATCTCATTTTACTGTTCAAGAAAGTTTTCTGTCAATTTGAATGTATTTATAATCATAAACGATGATGCAATATAGTTGCCTTCAAGTATTTGTTTTTCTCTCCCCTACTAGGTAAAGAGAGCAAACATGGTTAATGTCTTAAGATGAAAGCTGTACTTTGGCAGGAGTTAAACATGACTCACATGGCGAGTCTTGTACATCTAAAATTCACTTTACCCTGAATTGTGCCTGTCGGCACATGCCAAATTAATTACTCAACACAGAAATATTGTTCCTATCTTCAATGGATATACAGCAATTTTATGAATTTATGTAAATGAACTTATTTGTTGCAACAAATGTCATCACTTGTTCAAACAGTTATTTATGATTTTTAATGAATTTATTCAAGTAAATCAGAAAGTAATTCTGTAAAAATTTTGGATGTTCTAAAATACAACTGTTTTCCATCACTGCCGAATACAGCAAAAATATATGTGGTAGGTGTATTTCGACAATAGCAGAACTTGCAGGATAAAGAGAGGCATCTAGATAATGCTTCTAAGTATGTCTGACTGTCTGTGGGTCCACCTATGTGTGCAATGTCTGCAGCCAAAAGTTTAAGAACAAGATATTTCTTGAAGCCCATAAATAATTTACCATATTTTCAGAGTTATAAGCCGCAACAGTATATAAGCTACAGAACCGATTTTTACTGATTTTTTCAATTTGATCCACATATAAGCTGTACCATTTCTTACAAAGTATCATGCTTGATTTGTTACAGGTACCGAGCAGAACTCCAGAGACAGGAGCATGGAATTCCTCCTCAGCCCAAGGTTGTGCCTAGTCCAGAGGATGAGTATGTCCGCAATGGGAAGCTGCCTCCCCAAGGATGTGACCCAAACAATGTCTACCTGTGTCGACAGGTGTATGACTTCAAACTCAAAAGAATACTCAAGAATCCATCCTGACAATTAAACAAACCCTACAGAATGATGTACAACCTCAGGGAATCTTCTCATCAATATTCCTCATCCAATGTTCATATCCCAGATATCTAACTACAGCAAACCAGATTCTCTAAAATATTCTTGTACTTGGGTCTTACTTCATTAAGTTGAAAAAGCTACAAAAATATTTTACTTTCATCCGTCATTTTTTAAATATGTAAAGCCATTAAAGGATATTGCTGATGTGACAGAGCACTGTCCTAGAATCAATCCATTCTATAGTGTTCAACATCATCAATTCACATGTTACTTGGAGTATCTGATCCTTTACACTAACTAAGCATAATACAGAAATGATTTTAGCAATGAGTCCTAAGCTAACAGTCCTTCTCTAAATTTGGATCCTTGGGAAACATTTACTCATTGGAGAACTTGTCCAGACAGATAGTTTTTCATTTCTAATCGTTGTCTTTGGATGTGTTTAACATGACAATGACTGCATAGGGAATCACTTTAAGATAAATTCCTAAGGCATGGCCCTTTTTTCAGTTATAAGTAATGGGACCTGGTAATATTCTGTCTTCTTGTTAACTTATTAAAGGTATATTCAGTACAAGTTAGGATCTGACCAGATGGATTTACAAACATTAGCTTGATCATGATTTAGTCACAACAGGTTTTTATCAGCCAAACAGTGTGTACTCTTTGTACATGTTTTAAAATCAACAAGAAATATGTTAAAGTAATGGAACCCTGATCCGATCAGTGGTAATTGAACATTGTAAACACCTGTGTATTTACCCAATACTTTGTGTAAAATCTATGATCTAGTCTTTGACTGAGTTTCCCACATGTGATATATTTTGACAGTCTAATTTGATATTGGCAGGGACTTGGTATTTCCACTAATTTTGCCTGTCTAAATCAATCTTAGGAAAGATATTTTGATGTTGGCAGTAGTTTTAAAAGTTATTTGAAAGAAGTTTAAATGGTACAAAACTAGTGCAGAATATTCCTTTAATACATATAAAAGCTCATAATTTTAGTAAAAATTTGTTTATAAAAAATGGCCTTGTACATTGCCTTTCTTTAAATATCATGCAGAACTCTCCTAAAATTTACTGGGCTTTTTTCCTTTATGACATTGTCCCCACTTGTGATATTTGTCTTGATTTTCCACATTAGAATCTGTTTTATGGTGGTTTTCATTGTTCATGAATTTCACCCACTCCTTAGTTTGGTTTACCCCAGATTCTGTATTATTCAGAAACTTGAACTTTAAGTAAGGATTCCTATCCCCTGAAAACATTTCCATGCTCCAAGTTGAAGTGTATGCTTCAGCTTTGATCCAAGTGAGGGACTACTTATTACTAATTCAAAACCATTTTCAGTTTTTCCTTCCACAGGCTGATTGTTATCATCATTTCCAATTTTTTTCCCCTAAATCTGAATTTTTAATTTTTTTTTTTTTGCACATTTCTGATTTAAACTTGGTATCCTTCATTCTGCTCCCATAGTCGTATCTTCAATATTTGTGAGCAACCAACAGCAGACAAGTTTACTGTCTACTGAATCTCTAATTCTTGTGTTAGATATTTATCTGGAAAGACAAGCTTTAAATTGCTGCGAAGTTGTACAGAGAGGATTGGAATTGTGCATCATTCTGTAGGGTTTGGATTAGATAAAGTTTTGTAGGGTTCAGTGTAGAGTGCAATAACAGTGAGATGCCTTTTACATACAAATTTTAATATTAACAGTATACTGTTGTTTGTGTAACAATTTGGGTGTTATATATGGTATATATGATTTATGAAGTACACACTGATACAGATTAATTCTTGTTTTACAGATTTGTAAATATGGTGACAAGACTTAATTATCATGGCACACTGCTGTAATCAAGGTATAGATATATAGTGCCTGTGCAATAGTCCTATAACACAGCAGTTTCATCATAACAACACAAAAAATCTGGAAAATGTTTTATTAAAAAGTGTTGGAATTCAGTTTTTAGAATTGTTTAGGGTCACATGTCAATTTAGAAACAACTTGGATGAGTCAATGTGCAAATGTGTTCAGTGGCTATATAATGTGGAGAAGTTGTTCACCCTCTTGTAAAGCTTGTTGTGAATCTTACCTACTGGAGTAGTCTTGCCTTACACATTAAGATATTTTTATTTTTGTGACGCACCGAGTTCGAAATATTTTATGCATGCTCCTTTGTGTGATGTATGATAATGTACAGTTGATGACCAATCAGCTGTGTTACGCAGTGTTAGAGATGAATCATCTTTTTTATTGTGATCTCTTCAGGAGTAATTTGTATATTGACATGTAGATGAATGGTGAATCTACGTGATTTTAAATCATATGTATATTTAGCCAAGGTGTTCATAACAGAATCAATTTTACACAGTATAATTTATCATAATAGTTGTATATTTAATATTCCCGTGTTTTTTTTTTTCATTTCTAGAGGTAGTTTGGGTTTAAGAATGCTGAAATAATCCTAGTTTAATTGCTATTAGGTTAACATAGTATGAGAGTTTATAATCAACATCATTTATTGTTTTAGTAACAGGGTTTGTACTCTAAAATGACTTTGTTCAAGACTCCATCTTACCTTTGATTTTCTTTCAAAATAGTAATTTAAGATCAAGAATTATCAGTTTTGTATTTTAGCATTTTCTTACACAAGGCAGATGTAAAGTTAAAGTAGGGGTTATATTGGGAGACACAGAGTCATATCTGGTTTGTGTTATTTTGTACAAGTATAGAAAGTGGGAGATAGATCTCAGTTCTATGGTATGGTATGTTTGTTACTGTTTATGCAAGTGTACAAAGTGTAAGATAGATCTCGGTACCTTATGTAATAGTTATGTGTCATGCCTGGTATGTGTGTTACCATATATAGAAGTGTACATGTGTCATGCCTGGTATGTGTGTTACTGTATATACAAGTGTACATGTGTCATGCCTGGTATGTTTGTAACTGTATACACAAGTGTATGTGTGTCGTGCCTGGTATGTTTGTAACTGTAGATACAAGTGTATGTGTGTCGTGCCTGGTGTGTGTTAATGTATATACAAGTGTATGTGTGTCATGCTTTGTATGTGTGTTACTGTATATACAAGTGTATGTGTGTCGTGCTTGGTATGTGTGTTACTGTATATACAAGTGTACATGTGTCGTGCCTGGTATGTGTGCTACTGTATATAGGTATACAAAGTGTGAGATAGATCTTGGTACTGTTAGTCTGGTTTGATGTTAGGTCGTATCACCATGGAAATCCTCATTTTGTTTTATTGATCAACATTGTTTTAGCTTTTAAATGGCTCCTGTTTGCAGTTTTGTATGAGACTGCTTGTTACAGGTGCCCTAAATACCTAGTCCCTTGTTGTCAGTGTAGATCCATATGTTTATCCTATTAAGTTTCAGTGTTTCCATTCCTAGCTATATATTTAAAATATATTAATTGTTAAGTGTTTTTTTTTTCAGTGTTTGTATCCTACATCATTTCCTTGTATTGATTTTGAATGGCTTTAGAGTAAAGATAGCTCTGTACTAAATTGTATGTTGATTTGCTAGCCCTGAAGTGAAAATTCTTTTGTGATATTTTCTAGGGATCTGTTCAATGTTTATAGATTTTTGTGTAGGTGTTAGTGTACCCTGTCAGCAGACATTCTACTTTCAGTTTTAACAGAGATCACTTTACAAAATGCAATTAGATACATAAACATCCAACCTATGGTAAAGTTATAGTCTCATTCCATCTCTCCACTTAGTGAAGATATGAGGTGTTGCACTGTGAGGAATTGTTTTGATTTCAAGTATCTAGTGAGGCTATATATTCCCAGTTCATTGTGGCCAAGCAGATAGTAATAGTAGACAGTAATTTTAGGCTGGAGACAGCCGTTCTCACTGGCTGTCGATATTGGTACACCAAACATAGTCACTAGAACTCTACTTCAATAATAATTTGACACTAGAAATGGCCCTTCTCACTGGCTAAAAGATATTGGTACACCAAACATAGTCACTAGAACTCTACTTCAATAACGATTTGAGACTAGAAATGGCCCTTCTCACTGGCTGTAGATATTGGGCACACTTAAGTTTTGTTTCTGCTATTAATACCATTTAGAAGATTATGAAGTGTTATCTAGTCATTTAGGAGCAACATTTTTGTGTAAACTGAGATTTTATATATGGTACCTGTTTATGTAATATAAAAGTGTTTTCTTCCTCACAAGCAAGGTTTGCATTTGATTCTTGCATCTAAGATTGATACAGTAAAGCACGGTTTGACTTGCTTCTGTTCCTGCTGTGTACTATATTAGTATATTAATCGAGATAGTCATCCTCTTGTTGTATCATGAAGTCCAAATCTGTTCGGACTTTTTCCTTGTACATCTTTTTCTTTGTGTATCTCTCAGACCAGACAGATTTTATTTTACCATGTTGATGAATGCCATATATATAATTTTTTGTGAGTGAATATGATACATATTGAGTCGATGGGAGGCTTTAACTGGCCCTGTCTTCATGTAAATGGTGATATAAACTCCTGGTGTGCTGTGATCTATTTAACCTTAGTACATTTCTCTCTATTACTTGTTTTTGTTGTCTGTTATTGTATCCATAGTTTTATCTCATCAAGATTTGTTATTGTGGAGAAATTGAGAAAAGATGTTTAATCTGAATTATGTTTAATATTTTTATTAAATTTTTTTGGCAATTGAGCATTTCAGTCTCTACCACGCTTTGTTAAAAGTACAAATTGTATATAATAAGTGCATTTCCTTTATGAATTGTATAAACATATATACAAATCATTGCCATTGTAAAAATAACTGGTCAAATGCTAGCAGTGTTTCACTTTACAGACATAACAGGTTTTCTCATGCCTCAGCCTTCACACATGTATTGGACTACTTTTGAGTGAAATATGTCCATAATCTGGGCTCTGATTATGCAGACTTGGGTGTATGATGTGTGAGGTTATGTGTGTGTAACATACTTGAATCATCTTAATAAGTTCCATTCTATTTTACTGTAAAGAATTTCCTTTATTACATCAAGGCCTTGTCTTTTGGGTTAGTTGTAAGTATCATTAATTGTAACTTATGAGTGTAATCACTGTAGGAAACAAAACCTTGGTTTGATTACAGATTACAGAGATACTGCCTAGAAATGGGCCCTCTGGATATATCTGACAGCAAACATTTCTGCAGATTAGATCCTACAATATCAATTTTTCAAGTACTAGTCAGATTTTAATACACAACTACATCTAATAAAGATGTTGATACTAAATACTATAATCCTAGTGTGTGGTGATTTTGTTAATTTATCAGTTAACATGGTTATGTATGGAGAAATAGTTTACAGCTGATACCACATACAATAGTATTGATAACACATAATTAGTCATTTTTGTTCTAAAAGTTTAGTTTTTTTTTTCTTCTTTTTTTTTCTGGAATTTATTTCAGAAACAGAGTTTTATTGGTATTACTTAGACCTACTGGTCATTCCTGGCTGATCACAAACTATCTCTTCTGTGTCTAATAATCCATCATTTGTAATAATTGTTGGAAAACTTATTGTTCATTTTGTAAGAAATGATGTATAATCAATTGTACTAGACACCCCATTAATGTTTAGGACTTATTAGCTTTGAAAGATCTTGAGGTTTGGGAATGTTTGGTCTGAACATCAGATTAGAACCAAGAAAATTTTCTTTTATCAGTTTTTAAATTTTTTTAGTTGATACAATAACAGATCATATCCACTTAATGATTCCTTGTTAAGTTATACGATTCTTACTTTTTCCAACAAGGTACTTGAGAATAGGCTATATTAGTGTAGGTGACCCAGTACAACTGGGCTGAATGCAAGATAAAAACTCCCCTCCCAACAAACATTGGTTCAGTAACTTTCATTCTATTTGCAAATTTTTGAAAATCATGTTGTTTATCATTAAAATATAAGTCCAAAAGTAATCAAAATGTGTAAGAAAAGCATTTGCTTGGTTAATGTTATTTTTGTTAATATGATGTGGTGATAAATTGTGTTGGATTAGGTGATATGATGATGATTAAGTGTTTTATACTTATTGTATGTTAATGTAACTATCAGCTTCAATGCATGTTGACCCACAATACAGCAGAATTGTTCTAAAAATATATTGGTTTGACACATTTTGTCATTTTTTTTGTGTCTGTTTGTAATTAGTTGAAAGGAGTTTTCCAAAGTCATCTTAATATAAGGAACATCGTATGGACATATCTATTTAAGTATTTGTCCATGGTCCTATCAATAAAAGGAATGACCAATGGTTGATCATGTCTTAATATGGAATATGCTTTAGTTTGATACACTTGTTGATTAATGTGCATGTACTTAAGGTATTGACATTTTTCCTACACTATAATACTTAAGGTATTGACATTTTTCCTACTCTGTAATACTTAAGGTATTGACATTTTTCCTACATTGTAAAACTTAAGGTATTGACATTTTTCCTACTCTGTAAAACTTAAGGTATTGACATTTTTCCTACTCTGTAAAACTTAAGATATTGACATTTTTCCTACACTGTAATACTTAAGGTATTGACATTTTTCCCTACACTGTAATACTTAAGGTATTGACATTTTTCCCTACACTGTAAAACTTAAGGTATTGACATTTTTCATACACTGTAACACTTAAGGTATTGACATTTCATACACTGTAACACTTAAGGTATTGACATTTTCCCTACACTGTAATACTTAAGATATTGACATTTTCCCTACACTGTAATACTTAAGGTATTGACATTTTCCTACACTGTAATACTTAAGGTATTGACATTTTCCTACACTGTAAAACTTAAGGTATTGACATTTTCCCTACACTGTAATACTTAAGGTATTGACATTTTTCCTACACTGTAATACTTAAGGTATTGACATTTTCCCTACATTGTAATACTTAAGATATTGACATTTTCCCTACACTGTAATACTTAAGGTATTGACATTTTCCCTACACTGTAATACTTAAGGTATTGACATTTTCCTACACTGTAATACTTAATGTATTGACATTTTTCCTACTCTGTAAAACTTAAGATATTGACATTTTTCCTACACTGTAATACTTAAGGTATTGACATTTTCCCTACACTGTAATACTTAAGGTATTGACATTTTTCCTACTCTGTAAAACTTAAGGTATTGACATTTTCCCTACACTGTAATACTTAAGGTATTGACATTTTTCCTACATTGTAAAACTTAAGGTATTGACATTTTTCCTACTCTGTAATACTTAAGGTATTGGCATTGTCCTTACACTGCAATAATTAAGGTACAAGACATTTTCCCATACACTGTAATGTGCAATACTGATTGTTGTAGAGCTGTGACTGATACATTATGTACCACAGATATATTTGTATGCATCTCGTTGTAGCAGAGAGCTGTAACCCATTATGTTAGACTCTTTTAGATGATGCACTTTGACCTATAGAATTGTGGATGACAAATTACTTTATAGATGTTGTACCAGAAACATTATTGAGTTGGACTGTATAGATGGTGCACCATAGACATATTGAGTTGGACTATGTAGAAGGTGCACCGATGACATATTGAGTTGGACTATATAGATGGTGCACCATAGACATATTGAGTTGGACTGTATAGATGGTGCACCATAGACATATTGAGTTGGACTATGTAGAAGGTGCACCGATGACATATTGAGTTGGACTATATAGATGGTGCACCAGTGACAATGAGTTGGACTGTATAGATGGTGCACCATAGACATATTGAGTTGGACTATGTAGATGGTGCACCAGTGACATATTGAGTTGGACTATATAGAAGGTGCACCAGTGACATATTGAGTTGGACTATGTAGATGGTGCACCAGTGACATATTGAGTTGGACTATATAGATGGTGCACCAGTGACATATTGAGTTGGACTATATAGAAGGTGCACCGGTGACATATTGAGTTGGACTATGTAGAAGGTGCACCAGTGACATATTGAGTTGGACTATGTAGAAGGTACACCAGTGACATATTGAGTTGGACTATGTAGAAGGTGCACCGGTGACATATTGAGTTGGACTATGTAGAAGGTACACCAGTGACATATTGAGTTGGACTGTATAGATGGTACACCAGTGACTTACAGAGAGTGACTAATAAGTGGAACATCATAGACATTCAGTTGGACTATAGGAATGGTACACCTGTGATATTGAGTTAGACTATATATAGATGTAGACACTAGAAATGGTCCACTAGTTGACATACTGAGTTACACACTATAGAAGAACTATTAAAGAATTATGTAAATATTACAGCAGTGACTAATTCAGTTGGAGGATTTAAGTGGTACACTGATTACTTACTGATTTGGACGATATAAGTGGTACCCCAATGACTTACTGAGTTTGAAAATATATATGGTGCACTAGAGAATAGTTTAATTGGACTGTAAGTGGTGCACCAATGACTTGAGTTGCACTGTGTACCAGTGACCTATATAATTTGACTGTTAAACTATTTGGTAAAAAGCCTACACAATTGTTATTTGAACCAATCATTTAGGGAAGTGGTTGCTTTTGCTCTGTCTCGGGTGAGTGTCATTGATACAGCTTGTTGCCATGTGGTTAGACACCAATAAACAATCTACACAGACTAAATATGTCTTCTATTATTCATTAGAGATGTTGTCAGTTATTTAATAATGTTTTACCAAAAAGTTGATAAGTCATGTAGACATTCTAATCCATAGGTCAGAGTACTCAGTTTTGATATGTTTATGTAAAATGTCTTGCCGATAAGTCATGTCATGTAGACATTCTAATTTGCAGGTTCAAATACTCATTTTTAAGGTCGCCTGAGCCGAAGGCTCATGGTGACTTATTGCCATCATGATTTGCCTGTCGTCGTGCGTTGTTAACTTTTCCCATATTCGACTTCTTCTCAAGAACCACTGAATGGATTTTGACCAAACTTGGCACAAATGGGAAGCCGCTTCAAGTTTGCAAAGAAAAAAGGCATGGCCCCAATAGGGTCGAAAATACAACTTTGACCAATTTCAACCAAATTTGGTAGAAAGCATCCCTTAGTGAGGACAATATGAAATTATGTTGAAAAAAGTGATTATGTCCCCTTTGGGGCCCATAAGGGGTGTAAAAGGGTTCATATGTAAAAACCTTCTTTTAATGACTTCTTCTCAAGAACCATTGGATGAATTTTGATCAAACTTGGCACAAAGCATCCCCATGGGAAGCCGCTTCAACTTTGCGAAGAAAAAGGGAGTGGCCCCAATAGGGGCCGCAGGAGGGGGAAAAAGGGGGTAAAATTAGGTAAATCTTTAAAAATCTTCTCCTCATGAACCAACAGTCAGATTAAATTCATATTTGATATTTAGGGTCCTTATGGCAAGGTCTACAAAGTTTGCAAATGAAAAAAAAAAAAAAATCAGGTTAAAAAAAACGGCCCCACTAGGGGGCGCTAAAAAGGGTAGAAAATACAACTTTGACCAATTTCAACCAAATTTGCTAGACAGCATCCCTTAGTGAAGGTCATATGAAATTATGTTGAAAAAAGTGATAATGTCCCCTTTGGGGCCCATAAGGGGTGTAAAAGGGGCCATATGTAAAAACCTTAATTAAATGACTACTTCTCAAGAACCAGTGGATGGATTTTGACCAAACTTGGCACAAAGCATCCCCATGGGAAGCCGCTTCAAGTTTGCGAAGAAAAAGAGAGTGGCCCCAATAGGGGCCCCAGGAGAGAGGAAAACGGGAAACTTGATACGAATGTTCTACACAAGGTCCTGGCAAGTGTTTTAATTTTTTGGGACGATTCAAAATCCAAGATGGCCACCCTGGCCTCTTTTTGGCTAAGACATTATGGACTTCCTCTCAAGAACCATTGGGTGGGTCATGTTCAAACTTGGTACAGATGTTTTACACTTGGTCCTGCACAAGTGTTGTTACATTTTTGCAACATTTTAAAATCCCCAGATTATTGACATATTCCTCAGGTGACCGTTAAGGCCCCTTGGGCCTCTTGTTTATGAGCTTGTATAATTTCTTGCTGATAAGTTCCTCAGTTATGTAGACATTTTTTAAATCTGCAGGTCAAAATGCTCAATTTTCCCTTCCTTTTAGGTGAATATATTAATTTCTTCTGATATCGTAGTAAGTAGTAGATAATTCAAAGTAGGTTGATGTGATCAGCTATTCTTACGGAATATAAACTCATAGTTTCAACAAGAAAGTCAGTTAGGCAGAAAAACATGTATACTTGTTTTTTACTTCAGACAATGATACATTTGAACTGAAGTTACCTTGAACTTTGGCATATAACGCAGTAAGGGACACACTAATAGTTCATCCTACGCTCTTTGTTGTTTAGAAGTATAAACAAACTCAATACGTTCTACAGACTGTTTATTTATGAAACAGAATAATAATAATCCATATAAAAAAAAGACATATTGCCCTAGCTAAATGTGCATTGATATTGCTAAACGAAGATAATGTATAGAGTTTGTGACTGTTACAGTACTTCTTCAGGATCGGTAAATCAGGAAATGTTTGCAGGTACTTTTTCCATAAAGCCAAAGACATCATTACAAAAGTCAAAAACTTTGGTGTTTACACCTCATAAGTGTACAAGTCATTTTTACTAGTCTTATAGGTTGAATTTCTTTTTTGTAGTATATATACATATATATATATGCAATAAAAATGTTTTATAGGATTCTTTTATCAGGACTGACAAAGACAAGTACACAATCTGCTCTCTAAATCACCGAGCCATTAATTCCATACTGCTACTCTATTTTTGGACAATTTTTAAAATGACACTGCATAATATCACACTAACTACACCACTTATTTTTAAATACATTAAAGAAAACAAATTCACTGCATACATACAAGCTAACAATGTCCATATTTGAAAACAAAACAAATCAAGAAATTCTAGGAATAAAATATAAACCTGATGGATATGTGTTCACAACATTTAGTTATCACCTCAGAAAGAAACAACAAGAAAATCCGTTTAAAATATTTAAGAATTCTAATAAACATTACTATTGCTGTGCAGATATCAATTTCTAAAGACTATGACTATGTGATGGATAACTGAACAGAAGTTGGTCTAAATTTAGAATTCTTACACGAGTAGCTCCTGCAGACACAAAAAAGCAAAGGAAAGTAAACACTTTTAAGCTCAAAAATTTAAAGTCTACTTCACTTTCATGTATCTTTTATTTGACTACATCTAGTTAAAAATATTAGGTTTCACTTGATGCGGATATCATTTGTCCAGACAAATACCTGGGTAAACGTCTTTGCTCAGATGAGAAAGTTTCCATTCAACTTGCGCTGACAAATGTCATTTAAACAAATTATATGGAATCCTGTGTCTGACAAAGATGGTTCCATCTTACAGATACATCAACATTGATAACTCAAAGGCACTTCAAGAATGTTGAAAAAATAATCATTTGTGATTGTTATGTCTACATGATATATCTCCTGACGTCTTCTACTGCTGGACACCTCATCACTCAGATTTTCTGATAATCATAAAATCAGCCTACATATAAAGCACCAGGACGCTAGGAAAACCCTTCAAGCACTGACATTTACAAGAGATACTGGAAGGATCTTAAATGCCCTCATTTACGAACACGTTTTGGAAAAAAATTGATCTCTTTATCAATACTTAACTGTCAACATTCAAAACAGCCATATGTGGGCCATTTTGTTTATCTGACTAACTGCAATATTCCTAAATGGCGACGTGTAAGGTACTTCATTTATCCAATCAGTGTCAAAATTCAACATGCACATATAGAGTCCATGATAATCTACAATTTGAAGAAAACTTCCATTGAGTGTCCTGAGGTATAGCGACATTTAAATGGTTCCAGGAAGAATGGAGATTTGTGCAGCCCACTACCTTTTTTCAAAATATTTTCCCAGGAAAGATATAAGTTAAAACTGACATAAAAAATAAAAACGTTGTAAGACCCTTTGTGTTGGTAATTAAAATATGCCATCAGATCATCTACAACAAGGATAAGCAAAACAATAACAATAAACATGTTATTCTCTCAAAGCTTTAAAAAACAACTAACCAATCACACTGCTGAAGTATACCAAACACCAGATCTAACCAATCACACTGCTGAATTATACCAAACACCAGATCTAACCAATCACACTGCTGAATTATACCAAACACCAGATCTAACCAATCACACTGCTGAAGTATACCAAACACCTGATCTAACCAATCACACTGCTGAATTATACCAAACACCTGATCTAACCAATCACACAGCTGAAGTATACCAAACACCAGATCTAACCAATCACACTGCTGAAGTATACCAAACACCAGATCTAACCAATCACACTGCTGAATTATACAAAACACCAGATCTAACCAATCACACTGCTGAAGTATACCAAACACCAGATCTAACCAATCACACTGCTGAAGTATACCAAACACCACATCTAACCAATCACACTGCTGAATTATACCAAACACCACATCTAACCAATCACACTGCTGAAGTATACCAAACACCAGATCTAACCAATCACACTGCTGAAGTATACCAAACACCACATCTAACCAATCACACTGCTGAAGTATACAAAACACCAGATCTAACCAATCACACTGCTGAATTATACCAAACACCAGATCTAACCAATCACACTGCTGAATTATACCAAACACCAGATCTAACCAATCACACTGCTGAATTATACCAAACACCAGATCTAACCAATCACACTGCTGAATTATACCAAACACCAGATCTAACCAATCACACTGCTGAATTATACCAAACACCAGATCTAACCAATCACACTGCTGAAGTATACCAAACACCAGATCTAACCAATCACACTGCTGAAGTATACCAAACACCAGATCTAACCAATCACACTGCTGAAGTATACAAAACACCAGATCTAACCAATCACACTGCTGAAGTATACAAAACACCAGATCTAACCAATCACACAGCTGAATTATACCAAACACCTAATCTAACCAATCACACTGCTGAATTATACCAAACACCTGATCTAACCAATCACACAGCTGAAGTATACAAAACACCAGATCCAACCAATCACACTGCTGAAGTATACCAAACATCAGATCTAACCAATCACACTGCTGAAGTATACCAAACACCAGATCTAACCAATCACACTGCTGAAGTATACAAAACACCAGATCTAACCAATCACACTGCTGAAGTAAATTGTATACCAAACACCAGATCTAACCAATCACACTGCTGAAGTAAATTGTATACCAAACATCAGATCTAACCAATCACACTGCTGAAGTATACCAAACATCAGATCTAACCAATCACACTGCTGAATTATACCAAACATCAGATCTAACCAATCACACTGCTGAAGTATACCAAACATCAGATCTAACCAATCACACTGCTGAAGTATACCAAACATCAGATCTAACCAATCACACTGCTGAAGTATACCAAACACCACATCTAACCAATCACACTGCTGAAGTATACCAAACACCAGATCTAACCAATCACACTGCTGAATTATACCAAACATCAGATCTAACCAATCACACTGCTGAAGTATACCAAACACCAGATCTAACC